GGGGGGGGGGGGGGGGGGGGGGGGAGGGAAGGGGAAGGAAGCATAAAAGCTTACTATTTTTATAAATTTTAAAAACTAATAACTAATAATGGATTAAAGGAATTCATGATTGACACTCCATTGTGACTCCAGCCAACCACAGAGATATAATCCAAACGTTACTATTTTACAATTAATAATTATTAATTATACTATACTATTCGTTATTATTTAATTATATCAAATATTATTTTATGTACTACCTTATTTCAACCAATAACTGAACCATCCATGCATGAACAATGTATACAGTATGAATCATGAGATCCATATGCCAGCTTGCAATGCGGCGTGCAGAGGAGCCTGACTCTGGACCTCAACCGTACCTGATGGAAAACAGGATAATGTGTCGCATCGATAGAGTCCCTGCGATAGACATCGCCCGTCACTAAGAAGTGTGTGTTTCCGCCCCGCAGCATTTCTGCCTGGTGTGCACTCGTATGGCACCGAAGGACCGTCTCCTGGTCGATGTAGTACGTGTCATTGTAACTTCGGCTGACGTGATCCGCAGGTACAAGCACTTCATCAAAGTTCTGTTGATACCACACGTGCAACAAATGAGGACAAAATATAAATAGATAAACAAATAAACAAATAAACAAATACATAAGGAAAGAATCAAAAGTTGAGAGTCCCACCTAGGCTACCACAGTGGCCGGGGACCACTTGCCCGGCCAGGCCAAAAATAAATAAATGAATAAAATTGGTAAAGTGGCCGGGGACCATGTGCTCAGCCAGGGCAAAAATAAATAAATGAATAAATATTAAATAAATTAAAATGGGTAAAGAATTTCGATGTGACCCTGAGGCAAAAGTTGTTCAGTTTATTTTTCTGCATAACATGGTTTTCTTTGTTTTTTTTTTTGCTAAGACCTCCCCTGGTCCTTGGACGGCCGGGCCGCCCGGGAAAATAGGGTGACCCGGGCGGCCTGGCTGGTAGCCTAGGTTTCCACCGTTTTTTCTTCTCCAATTCCGAAAAATTTTCGACAAAACGGTTCTTCAGGTGCTTCTTTCCCAAAAAAAAGGGAAAAAAAGAAAGAAAGAAAGACAAGGCAAACCTTGGCTCAGTTTGCCATTCATATCCATACATCTCAAACAGGAAAAAGATATTGATATATTAAAACGATATAAATATTATTAAATAATTTTAATCAATAAATTGATATTAAAATTTAAAATATTAAAATCCAAATTATTAAATTGAGTCTTTGGTGGCACTTGGGCCTCGTTGTCTTGCTCTGCAGCAATGCTTGTAATTGTTCACTTGCTGCAACTGAGGAAGCATTCCGATGAATCTGATCGGGATCCCATCGGGACTCTCCTGTCCTAACGTCCTTTTTTTTGTTCTTCTTGTTTTTCCCTCTTTTCTTTTAAATCATTAAATGTGCTCGCCCCCCCTGATATTATTATTGTATAAATCCGACGATCCTCATGAGGATTCGGATTTCAAACTCATAACCTGTTTACTAACAAGTACATGTGGGAACCCTTCGGCCATATATGGGCCAGGTGGTCTGTCCTTGCCTCCCGACTCCAACCAAGTGTGCTCCACCAGTTGCCATTATTCACACAACTACCAAATGGGACAAAATTCTCACTGTACTAAAATCCAAATTAATAAATTAATAAATTATTAAATTAAGTGCTCAGTGCTGCTTGCTCTGCACCAACACTTTTTTTTTTTTTTTTTTGGCTCTGCACCAAGACTGATTTGAACTGAGAAAGCAATTCAAAGTATTCTCCTTTCTTTTTTTTTCCCTTTTTCTGTCAATTTTTCTTTTTTTTTCGTTTTTTATTTTCCTTTTTTAGATACAAAAAGCATTGTGATCCTAGTGGTGCTTTCTTTTTTTCTTTCAATTTTTCTTTTTTTTCGTTTTTTATTTTCCTTTTTTAGATACAAAAAGCATTGTGATCCTAGTGGTGCTTTCTTTTTTTTCTTCTTTTTCTTTCATTTTTTTTTTTTCGTTTTTTATTTTCCTTTTTAAGATACAAAAAGCATTGTGATCCTAGTGGTGCTTTCTTTTTTTTCTTCTTTTTCTTTCAATTTTTCTTTTTTTCCGTTTTTTATTTTCCTTTTTTGGACACAGAACGCATTGTGATCCTAGTGGTGCTTCTACAACCATTTTATATATTATAATATTAGCTTATGCAAGAGATTGTGCCCTTCTGCTGTCCGACCAAGTGCTCAACCAATTGACAATTTTAATTATTTAAATTTATTTCACGTAAGTGACGTAGCTACCAGTTTGCCGAGTGTTGATAGAAACCCACTCATCCTGCAGAATCACCTGGTGGGTGGTGGTAGCTCAGAAAAGGGTGGGTGGTTAGGGTTAACAGAATTGAATTGGTCACAGCAGACTATAGGTTCTGCTAGCACCAAATAATTGATGACAAGATATTGACCATAGATACTGAATAATTGATGATAAGATATTGACTATAGATAACGAAGAAGATTGAAGGACTGTGTCACATAACGCATGACGCTTCCCTTCCAAAGCTTAGAAGCTAGAAGCGAGCTTTTTCTTGGCCCGTCATCACAGGAACAGCAGAGAAGTTTCACCCACTCAAAAAGTATTAGGTCCACCGGTGGTATGTTCACGCTTGGAAAGCACGAACTCAGTCATAATATGGGCCAGGTTCCTGTTTTACTGGCATGAACATGGCGCCAGTCAGGCCTGGCCCTTTGTATTTCTCCTCTTAAAAAACAGTCAGGCCTGTTCCTATGTCGATCGGATCATATATTACTCAATATTTACTATTTCGTATACTATTTACTATTTAGTATTTGGTATTTGGTATTTACTATTTACCCATTGATGATTAATACTCCGGTGGCAAATCAAGCCATAGCCACACCCTTAAAAATGAGAGAGAGAGAGAGAGAGAGAGAGAGAGAGAGAGAGAGGGAGGGAGAGAGAGAGAGAGAGAGAGAGAGAGAACTGAGCGAATCCAAGAGTCAAAACTTCTCACTCAAAACGAGTAAAGGTTCAAAAACCAGAAGAAGAAAAAAATTTAGGGCACTTCAACGATACCGCATTTGGGATGCTGGTGGACAGATTCAATTCCAAGATTCTGTCGTTGAGACACAGACAAAAAAAAAAAAAAAAAAAAAAAAAAAAAAAAAAAAAAAAAAAAAAAAAAAAAAAGAAAGAAAGACAAGCAGAAAAAGAAAAAGAAACACCAACCCAGAGACGCAGAACACCACAACGCTGGACCCGTTTTCCAGCAGGTGTTGCTCCCCACCAATAGATCGGAGCCAACAGATGGCCTGCTAGTGGTGGGTGCTCGTTTCACCATATCACTAGCAGGGCCACCTGGGGTTCTCAAAAAAAAAAAAAAAAAAAAAAAAACAAAAAAAACAATCAATCAGACAACAGATAGTCTGCTGAGGTGGGTGCTCGTTTCACCATCACTAGCAGGGCCAACCGGGTTGAAAAAAAAAAAAAAAAAAAAAAAAAAAAAAAAAAAAAAAACCGGCTGCCACACATAACCTTTTATCCTTTTTTTCTTTTCTTTTTTGTTTCTTGAGAAATGGGTCTAAAAGTGACTTTTCAATTATGGAGTGTTCACAAAACCATATACGGCGAAAAATATGATTTCAATTTGTAGTTTCAGCTTTCAAGTTCGAAGTGATTTCATTATTTTGAGGGGAAGGGGGGGGGGGGGGGGGGGGGGGGGGGGGGGGAGAGGCGGGGAATATGTATATGCAGATTTCATGAATGAACAAAAGTGCCGATTGCTTGAGCATGTGTCCACCTCACGTATTATCCCTTGCCTGAAAAAGCGAAAAGGAAATGGAAAAAGTGTGCTAGCTTCATGTGGATGCAGGGGCGATCAGAGCCAGCCATCGACAGAGGCATTGATTCATCATTATGAGAGATGTGCCTCTCCTTCATTGAGATGAACATTCATGAAACATGAATGAATGTCCATCCTGTAGTCATACATCTGATTAAATTTTACAAATGCCATCCTCGTCCACCAAAAAAACTCGTGAATCTCACCGCCTTCAGAAGACAAATTATCACCCATGAATGTCTATCTTATTCGCAAAATAATGGCCCACAGAAGTACATTGCATTCCTAAAAATCCCAGATGGATGGATGGATCGATGGAAGGAATTGGATGGTTGGGATGCAACTGATGGATGGATGGATGAATGGCTGGGTGGATACGACAGAACAGATGGATGGGTGGATGGGTGGATGGGTGGATATGACTGAACAGATGGATGGGTGGGTGCGTGGATATTACTGAACAGATGGATGGGTGGATGGGTGGCTGGGTGGTGCGGATGGGTGGGTGGATGGATGGGGGGATGGATGGATGGATGGATGGATGGATGGATGGATGGATGAGAAAGTGGTTAATAGAGCCCTGAGTTTTCAGGATTTTCTCAAGGTCGTTATAGCAAAACTCGCACACCTTTGGAACCAAAACTTGTTGCCAACCCATAGAGTGGACAACAAATAAACCAACAGTAAAAGAAAAAAGGTAAAAGAAAAAAGGTAAAAGAAAAAAGGTAAAAGAAAAAAAGAAAGGAGCCCCAAAACCCAAAGGTGTGTTGACCTATGGGCTGAAAAGTAGGGGTCCCTGTTAACCAACTGTGGGCTGGATGGATGGTTGGACAGTTCAATGGATCCATGAGAATGGTCTACAGGATTCGTAGTAATACCACGAACAACGGGTCATCTTCCTAACCCCCATCTACTTTGCCCTGCTTTGCTAAAATTATGCTTTCGTTGGATGGACGGATGGGATTGGATGGGATTGGATAGGACAGATGGATGAATGGATGCATGGATTGGTAGGATAGAACAGATGGAGGGGTAGATGGTGAGCTATCGTCTTCCCGCCGAATAGAACGTACGGTCATTATGGAGTAATATGGACGTATTTGGCTCACATTTCAGTTCAGATGCAGGGCAAATGACCGTATGTTCTATTCATGGGAAGAAGGTAGGTGGATGGATAGATGAATGGATGCATGGGTGCATAGGTGAACGAACAGATGGTGATATGAATCACGGAAATTCTCTTGTTAAGTTCACGAAAAAAAAAAAGGACACAAGTGCTTCCAGCTCTGCACCCTCTTGTGCACGGACAAGAGGATTGGATCAGATCGAATTGGATCGGAATCAGATCTGAGTGGATTGGATCAGATCGATTCTGATAGGATCTGATCAGATCGGGCCGATCTGATCAGATCGGGCCGATCTGATCTAAACAGACCGGAACGAATCAGGAGGACACAAGTGCTCCCCGCTCCGGATACAAGGTTCCAGAAAACTCTCTCTCTCTCACACACACACACATACAAAAAAAAAAAAAAAAAAAAGAGAGAGGAGACAGAGACAGAAAAAAGCATCCACCTTCATATTCTCTTGTGCAAAAAATATGCAGTTTTTAGACAAGCCGCTGGAAAATGCTTACCATTTTTGTCGAAACAATAGGACTGAGATTGTCAAATTTGTTGAACATTTTCGGGCACCTCTCATCAAAATAACTGTAGATGACATTTTTGAGAATGCTTAGCGGATGATTTGGTCGATTGTGCAACTGCATTCCAAGTCTTGTGAAAATTGCATCCGACACATTGTTTGTGGGATCGCCCTCTCGCACCAGTTCTGCAACCAACCAACCAACCAACCAATCAATCAATAATCAATCAACCAATCAACCACCTAAGAAGCCAATCAATTAACCAGTGATCGATCCGATCCGATCCAATCATATTCAATCCAACCCAATCTAACCAGATCTGATCCAAGACGATGCAATCCAATCAGATTCGATCCAATCTGATCTGATCCCATCCGATCAGATTCTATACGATCTGATCCAATCACATCTGATCTGATCCAATCAGATCTGATCTGATCCCATACGATCGGATTCGATGCAACCCGATCCAATCCAATCCAATCCAATCCAATCCAATCCAATCCAATTCAATCCAATGCAATCCAATCCGATCCGGTCCGATCCGATCCGATCCGATCAGATCCAATCCTATCCGATCTGATCTGATCTGATCCGATCTGATCCGATCTGATCCATTCCAATCTGATCTGATCTGATCCAATCCGATGGGATAGAATCTGATCTGATCTGATTCGTTCCGGTCTGTTTAGATTGGATCGGCCCGATCAGATCAGACCCTATCAGATTCGATCTGATCCAATCCACTCAGATCCGATTCCGATCCAATCCGATCTGATCCAATCCACTTCAGATCCGACAAATCTAACCCAATTCCCATCCCCATCCCATCCAAGTTGCAATCTAAACCCCAATCCAATCCAATCAAACAGTCTCTCTGTTGTCGTGATGTTTGGAATGAAATGAACCGATATGTTCGTTCCTGAAACAAAATATCACTGCATCTAGATTCAGGATGCTTCACCTTATAGTGTTTCATTACTGAGCAATAGACATGCAGTTTCAAGCCACGATCCCGGCTGTAGCGTGGAGTCTGTACAAGCAGACAATCTGGGGCTCTGCCCTCCTTTGTTCATTTTTCTTCCCTCCCACTTTTGCAGAAAGTCCCCGGATTTTTGTGCCTGCCTGATGCCTGAACAGTATCGCACCTAGAACTGTTAATCCACGATCGGATTATATCCCATCCCATCCAATCCCATCGAATCAAATCACCATCCCCATCCCAATATCCCCATCACATTCAAATCCAAATCCAAATCCAAATCCAGATCCAAATCCAAATCCAATCCATCCACCAATCAAACGGTCTGTCATGATGTTTGAAATTAAATGAAGGTAATGAAGTTAAATGAACCCATATTCAATTTGATGGTACAACACATCAGCGTGTCTGGATTCCGGAGTTTTCGACTTATACTACTCTTATAGTGTTTACTGTCCGTGAGCAACAGAAATGCAAGTTCGACCCGAGCCCTTGGCTGTAGCATATAGACTCTTTATAGAGTCTCAAGACTATCAACCCAATTTGAATGCATAACCCTGGGCTCCCCCCTCCCTTTGTTCATTTTTGTCCCTCCCACTTTTCCAAAAATGTCACTAGATTTCTTTACTTTTCCAAAAATGTCACTAGATTTCTGTACTTTTCCAAAAATGTCACTAGATTTCTGTGCCTTCCTGATGGCTGAACAGTAGTATCACACGGAGAACTGTTGATCCACGATTTCCAAAAAATATCAATCAATCTAGTTCTCAAAGATTTCAAATTTTCAAAACTCCATTCACAACAAGAAAAGGGGAAAAAAAAAATCAAGAAAAAGAGAAGGCAAAGCTCAATACAATAGTAGCAAATTATTATCAATACTTTTTTTCTTCTTCTTTTTTTTTTGGAAAGCCATCCATTTTATTGTGCAGACATGAGTAAGGATATGTGTTGTGTGAGGTTAAAGATGCAATACCACTATGAGGTGCATAGCTAGGGTTTGAGTTTGATTCCGGGATAACAGTTCTCCTTCCGCTATGGTTAAGGCATCCAGGCAACACAGCCCAGGTGAGCGGTCCGGTCATTAAATGGGTATTTTACCTGTGTTAGTCCCCGGGCGGCCCGGCTGCGGGAAGGTCGCTCGGGTACCCTCCCGGGCGGCCCGGACCGGGCACGGCCCGGGCAGGGTCCCGGGCGATCCCAGCGCATAATACTTTAAAAAATAAAAAAAATAAAAATCAGAAAAATACGAAAAAAATATGTTGTGTAAAATTGCAATGCAAACGACTATTGGCCGAGGGCACCTCCAAATTCCTTGTTAATTTCAAGAGAAAAATAAATGAGAAAACATGAGTCCAAATGTACCCTTTTAAGCCCTTTAGTCACTGTTTATGCCCCCAACCCCCCCCCTGGATGACCCATTACCAAAACCGAAGTTAAGACCGGATTCTGACTGCTTAGGCCAAGCACAGTCCTGGCCTGAAGTCCTTTTTTTTTTTTTTGGGGGGGGGGGGGGGGGGGAGATCCGTGCCTCCTTTTTTACCCGCCTGGTTTTGCTGGGCGAACCCCCTCTGCCCAACTGGCCCGAACGTGCCTGGCCAGGTGACGGCCCAACATAGTATTTTACTTTTTCTTTGGCCATGTATTTTACTTTTTCTTTGGCCAGTTGTGGCACTGTAAATGTGCACAAGAAGGCAGGCCGTCCGCTAGTGCCGCCTGCTGAGTCACGCGTATCGCTCCAAGTCTACATGTGTACGCTAACTTGCAATTATGCCAGACCAGTCACAGTCTCAAAACACTCAGGCATTCCTCACTTTCTTTCTTTCCGCGGGAATCGTATATAATTGCTTTTCTACACACTTGTGCTGCTACTTGTCCCCATCAGCGGAGGCAGGCGGCGTTCTGATCAACGATGATTTTTTTTTTTTTTGCATATTCAACAGAATGAATGGCTTGGACCGTGGGATGCCACATCTGTTTTTTTTCTTTTTTTCCCCTGCATTGCCTGCAGTGACATTGACTCCTCTACCTCCCCACTTGGTATCTTGATCGTTGGCATCACCCAATCCCTTTTTTTTATAGAAAAAAAAAAAAAGAGAAAGTTGGGAAAGTAACCAACAGGCCTAGCTCAGTTGGTACACCCACAACTGTTGAAGTATGAATCAGACCCAACTTCAAATCCAGATACAATGAGATGGCCAAAAGAGAAACTCATTCTGAATTACCTATAGGGCCCGTCAGTTCAATGATGATTCATATCAAGGCCGTAGGCGGTCAGGTCTCACTTATCGCAATATCCAGTCTCTGGCCGTCAGCCATCATCCGTAGATTATGCAGGTAAGGGTCAGAGGGGGAGGGGGGGGGGGGGGGGGGGGGGGGGGGGTGGAGAGAGGGGGAGAGAAACTCAGAAACAAAGGATCTGGGTAATTAAGACCCCGTCCCCTTCCCCTTCCTCCCTGGTAGGCATAATACTGGTTTTATAGTATTTAGTATTTACTATTTACTATTTAATATTTATACTATTTATAGCCCTGGCCTTATCGATCTGCCATTGCAGTTGTAGCCAGCCCCTCTTTGAACTGGGGCAGAGTCTGAACAAACGGGGACTCGTCCGCCTCCTCAGCACTTCCGTTTTGTGACTTTGTCATTTTGTTTTTCAGTTCCTCCAGCGCGAACATGGTGCCATGCCCTTGGAAAACAAACTGACCACTTACGGCCTTGATATGAATCATCAGTGAACTGACCGTCCCTATGGGTAATTCAGAATGTTTTTTTCTTTTGGCCATCTCATTGTATCTGGATTCGAACTTGGGTCTGATTCATATTTCAACAGTTCGTGGGTGTACCAACTGAGTTAGGCCCGTTGGTTACTTTCCCAACTTTCTCTTTTTTGTTTTTTTTTCTATTAAAAAAAGGATCGGGTGATGCCAACATCAAGATACCAAGTGGGGAGGTAGAGGAGTCAATTTCACTGCAGGCAAAGCAGGAAAAAAAAAAAAAAAAAAAAAAAAAGCAGATTTCATCCACGAGTCATCATAAGCCATCCATAAAACAGGAAAAAAGGATAGGCAAGATAGTTAAAAAGATGCAAGGTTGGCCACGTTTTTGTGCTTAAGCGCCAAGTGCCCACACACCCGTCTGTGGCTGAAGTGACACACATTCACAAATTGTATACCTTTTTTTTTCAGTGAACAGATTATGAATTGAAATCCTGACCAAATCAGATGAATACAATAATGTTCAGATCTATTCCTTTTTTTTCTTAAAAAATAAAATAAAATAAATAAATAAATGAAATAAAAAAGGGTGACAGCCTTGAAGGTACCATCATGGAACCGACTATCCCCAGATTCAGAGTTGTTGTGCTCATCTGATTGCATCTGTACTTTTGTGTACACTTATCCTGGTACTACATCTCTCGCGACTTCTACTACTACTACTGATTTAGAGTCAAGTAAATAAGTTCCAGCTTCTTCTTCTTCTTCTTCTTCTTCTTCTTCTTCTTCTTCTTTAATAACATAACCTTAGGGTTCTGGCTCCGTTTCCATTCTGGGGAGCATCAGTCCGGTTCCTATTCCACCGGCAAGTCAAAAAAGGTTACATCGAATACACTCTCACGCTCCTCCCCCTTACGGCATGGAGGCCCGAAGAAACGGCATTCATTACTCCTCTCTCTCTCTCTCTAGGAAGGATGTACCTTTACCTTTCTTCCCCCCCCTGCCTAAGTTATAGCCTGAACTGACTGGTCTAAACAAATTGCAGCAGCTAACTTGAACTCTCTTCTAAAACAAAAAGCCGGATGCGCTCGCAGATCCGAGTGGCGTATTTCGACGAACTGCCAAGCGCAAGATTGAGATTCTGCCAGATAGTCAGGCCAGGCCCCCAAGAGATGTGTCTACCAAATGGGACCGGCTCTCAACTAGAGGAAGAACAAAATCGTGCAATGAACCGGTTGCAAATCCGCCCTCAACAGATATGCAAACAGGAGATGTCACACGAAGATTCAATCCACACCAAACGTACAACTTTAATTAGACAAGCTTGAGAAACTTCAATGACACTATCATATATTACAATCGAAAAGTTCAGATCCACAGCGAACTGCGCCGCTTCACGCAACAACACCAGATATGGATCTGACTCTCCACCCCCTTTGTGATTCTCTCTCTCTCTCTCTCTCTCTCTCTCTCTCTCTCTCTCTCTCTC